TGTGTATGTATGTGTACATGTGTATGCATGCATGTGTGTGTATGTGTGCATGTGTTTGTATGTGTGTATGTATATGCATGTGTGTACATGTATGTGACATTATTGTTTGTATGTGTGCATGTGTATGTATATGTGCATGTATGTATGTGTGCATGTGTATGTATGTGTACATGTGTATGTATGTGTACATGTGTATGTGTGCATGTGTATGTATATGTGCCTGTATGTATGTGTGCATGTGTATGTATGTGTACATGTATGTATATGTGCCTGTATGTATGTGTGCATGTGTATGTATGTGTACATGTGTATGTGTGCATGTGTATGTATATGTGCCTGTATGTATGTGTGCATGTGTATGTATGTGTACATGTGTATGTGTGCATGTGTATGTATATGTGCCTGTATGTATGTGTGCATGTGTATGTATGTGTACATGTGTATGTGTGCATGTGTATGTATATGTGCCTGATGCATTGTGTACATGTATGTGACAGTATTGTTTGTATGTGTGTGTCTGCATGTAAGTGTACTGTGCATGCACACGAATATGCATGAGAGTGTAGATTATGTGTGCATGTCCATGTGTATGTGTGTGTGTGTCCAGTCTTTTCCCCAAATCAGTAGAAAACTCAATAAAGGAAATGAGAAAAATCCACATATTTCTCTTTCTCAGTGACCCTGATCCTGTGCTTATGAGAGCCCCCTTGTCAGGAGGCTAAGACAACAGTTGCTTTTAGCTCCTCTTCCCTTGACACCATTTCCTTTGGGGTTTCAAATATTAGAAGCTTATTCCCAGAACTGTCAATCATATCAATAAGTGAAGCATACCCCAGTGAGAGCTTCCTAAACCTCAATTGGTTTTTAAGGAATGCTGCAACATGACTATGCTCATTTTTAACCCCAGCCCTCTCACTGTGTCACCCACATCATGGGACTAGTCAACAGTTTTTCTGTGCTGGTTCTACTACAGGGAACCAGGCTGAAAAGCAAAGCCCCCTGTTTCAGAGCTAGATCACAAAAGACACTTTTAGGGGACCATAAGATTTCTCTCCTCTGTCTGTGTCACGGGCATATTCTCGCCTTCCAGTAAATATACCTGCTACTAGATCCAATGACTTGCACATCTGTATACCACCACCACAATTCAAAGACAGAAATGACACAGTGACCTGCTGGTCTCTTCTCTCACCTAAATAGGGTGGGGTCTTTGGGGCCATCAGGGTCAAAACTGGTTATGTGGACAACATAAGGGTGACTTTTTTGCCCCAAACATAAAATCCTGCACCAATTTAGCACCTATTTTTAAAAGGCAATTCTTAAAAGTCCTTTCAAGCAAGAAGAAAAGACAGGCTGTCCTGGGTTGGTGTGTCCTGTTGTATATAATGCCCTAAAATCCTGCATCCCCTTTTTTTTCCTTCCCCTCCAGCAACACAGAGCTTTTCAGGGAGGAAAAAAAAATGTATCATGGGAAAATTGGAGGGAGGTCCAGGAAAGAAAGATGAGTTCTCATCAGGGGCATAAAAGACCACCTTTGAGTCAAAAATTTGGTCCTCACAGGTCCAAGGAGATGGCCCTGGGCATTCTGCCATGAAAGGGCAAGTGGCCAGCCAGAGTCACCATTCTGCCTCCTGCCAAAATGACTTCTACCACATCCCCTGGGATGAAGTGTGGCACTCAGATTTCCACAGGTGCAAATCTAGAGGAGTCTTCCAACCCCCAGCCTCAGTGGGGCACAGCCATAAGGATCCACCAGAGACTGCTCTGTGAACAGTGACCTGAGCGTGGGAATCTATTGGCAACTCCATCTTGTACCACACAGACTTTTTCTGAGAGTGAATTAAACTCCCCGTTTTCAAACCACATCCCGACTCCTTTGGTTCACATTCACGTTCCACGGAGGGGCGGGGGGGCAAATAAACACTGTCCTACTCAACCCATCAGGATCGCATTGCAGGTCACCTGCTGCCAACCCATCCCAATGGAAGAAGAGAAAACTCTTCTGGATCCTAACTTGATCCACAACTCAAAGGAAGGATAATGGATGCTGAAATCTTGGCTCCCAAAAGACCCCTGGTGAAAAAGAATCAGTACCACCAACACCACCTATAGCCCACAAGCAGCCCCCTGTCACCCGGTCAGCTTTGTCCCAAATTCTCCAAGAGGTAGTAAGTGTAAGTCTTGGAACCCACTCAGGGAAGTGCAGCCTGCACAGGGGCGTAGCAGTGGGTGGGTGTTGGCTATGAGATTATTCTTAGCGCTCCACTCTTTGAAAAAGTGGTGTTTCCACACTCAA